CACAGTAACTCTGCCTTCTGCCTTTTCTATTGATTTGTTAGCTTGGGACCAGCTAAATTCTTGTTCTGGAGCCATACTTGGCAGCAATTAGGAGCTATTCCTGGCTTAGTACCTAGGAGTGACTCTGGGTGCTGGGAATCCACTGGGCCTCCCATAACTAAAGAATGTGCACCAGGGGCCAGAAAGACAGTACACAGTGGACACGGCATTTGCCTTGCATGTGGCCAACCTGGGTTTGATCCCCAGCATCCTGTATGGTCCCCTAAGCACCACCAGGAGTAATTCCTAAGCACAGAGCAAGGAGTAACCCCTGAGCATCTCCGGCTGTGGCCCCCAAACAAAAAAACAAACAAAAAAGAATGTGTTCCAGCCCACTCTCAATTGGATTCTTTTCTGGACCACAGATCAAGTATTTCAGAGAAAGGACCCAAGTTCTCAGTAGTATCTATCTATCCCCCTCCTGCTCTAGCACAGGAGCATGCCAAAGAACAGGTAATCCTGTGGAAAGAATGGCTCGAAGAATCACTCCTACTTCTTCTTTTCCTTTCTTTGTGGTTATGGGATTGAGCCCAGGACCTCACACATGCAAGGTATGTGCTCTACGCTATGAAGTTTTGTTATTTGTTCTAGGGCGGAATGTGGTAGGTATGAGGGCTACTTCTAACTCAGTGCTTAGGAATCATGCGGTACCAGGATTAAACTAAGGATCATAGCATGCAAAACATGTGCTTCAGCCCTCTCAACCATCTCCTTGACTCATACCTCTACAACATTTTTTGGGGAGATGGGGGTAGGGGTTGTTTGGGGGCCACACCAAGTGGTGCTCAGGGATTACCCCTGGCAGGGCTCGAGGGACCTTATGTGATGCTGGCGATCAAACCCAGGTCAGCTACATGTAAGGCAAGCACTTTAGCTACTATACGTTCTCTTCATCCCCCACCTCCACACCACTTTTAAGAGTAAGTTACTACAGGGACAGCAAAAACAGTACAGAAGTTAAGGCGCTTGCCCTTCATGCAGCTGATCCTAGTTTGATCCCCACCAAGTATAGTCCACTGAGCAGAGCTGGGAGTAGCCCCAAACACGGCTTGGATCTGGCCCCAAACCAGATCCTGTCTCCCCCTCCAAAAAGGTCACAACAGATCAGGGATGTACAACAACAACAACAACAACACAGTGACAGAGCACTTGTCTTGCATCTATGAGGCTCCAGTTGTACTCCCTGGAACCACAAAAACAAAAGATACCCTTCTCTCTGCAAATGGTAGTGAGTCCAGAGTCCTAGCAAATAAGTTTGGAACTGTATTTGGTTTGGAAGCACAGGTTTTCCATGGTCCCTGAAGAGAAAGAAACCAATTTCCATGGTGTTTCTTTCAGTACTTCCTCCCAGTTTAGTGTCCTGCTTTGGGAGCTTCTCAGTTGTGCACTGGCAAGCAAGCCCTTACCTGACAGGTGACATTGCGGGTGATCCGCTTATATTCTTCATTGGCCAGCTGTATCTTAATCTTCTCCAGGCGGGCAACTAGCTCTGGATTCTGAGGCAGAAATAGTAAAGGAGCAGAGTGATATTCTCAGTTTACTAGGAAGCATGTCACAATCATTAGCTCAGGGGACAAGACACCGCTGGGAGGCCAGGAGACCTATGTAACAGTTCTGCCTCTGCTGCTTTGCAGACGGCTTTCCTTTCTTCTGGCCTCAGTTTCCCACACTGGCTAATAGGGAAGATAATACTGATCCCACACCCCAGTTCCCAAGGATTTGAACACCAAACTTTTGAGCCCATAAAGCTAATTCTTTTTTTTTTTTCTTTTTGGGTCACACCCAGCGATGCACAGGGATTACTCCTGGCTCCGCACTCAGGAATTACTCCTGCCGTGTTGTGTTCAGGGGACCATATGGGATACTGGGAATCAAACCCAGGCTGGCCGAGTGCAAGGCAAACGCCCCACCCGTTGTGCTATCTTTCCAGCCCCTAATTCTTAAATCTGAATACATCGTGAAAACATCCGGAGATTACTCACATTCGGCTAGCCAATACCCACTCTTGTAAATATGTCCTTTACGTACCCGAGGTGGTTTCACAACCTCTGGGAGATAGATTTCACTGCCTTCGAGGAGTTCATGTAGGTAAAGTGTGGAACCTGGGAAGAAAAGATTTCCTCAAAGATAATAATACAGAGAGCTAAGGCTGGAAGATGATAATCAGAGAAGTACCTAGTCTTTCTGGTTTTTTTTTTTTCTATCATAACATGACCATTCCTGTATCGATTCATGCGAGGATCATTTTCAATTGGGAAGACTCCAGGAAAATCCTCATAACTATCTCCCAGGGCTGTACTGATGCTCTCCAACCCCGCCAATGTCACAGAACTCACAGCCAACATGTAAGTCTTTAAGGTAGGTCATTTATTTATTTAGTTTTTTGGGTAGCACCTGGCATTGCTCAGGGCTTAGTTCTAGCGGTGCTGAGACGTGGCAGGGAGAGAGATGTACGTGGTGCTGGTGATCAAACTTGGGTTGGCAAGGCAAGCTTCTAAGCAACCCATTGTACTCTCTCTCTCTGGCCCCAAGTCCCACTGTTTTAATAGCTCAAGTGGTAGATCAAAAGCCTAGCATGTGTGGGACCCTAAGTTTCAGTCTCAGTCCCAGATATCACCTCTCTCTGCAGTTTCTATATTAAAATGTACATATATATTTTATACATACACCAACCCTGGAATACTAGGCAGGTGCAAGGAACAATAATCATGCCATTTGCTGCAACTTGGATGGAACTGGAAAATACCACGTAAAGTGAAATAAGCCAGAAGGACAAACACAGAATGAGCTCACTTATCTGTGGTATACGGAGTAACAAAATGAGGGAACAAGGGAATGCAATGTAGTAACAGGCAGATGCCTCGATTACCCCTGGCCCCAGATTACAGGGAGAAGAACAGAGAAGGAAAGAAATAGAGGGCAAAGAAGAGGTAATGAAAAGTAAGGGGGTTCAGGGATCAAAGGCTTCTGGTATATCGGTGGTGTTGAGGTAGAGATGGTATAGCTTTTTTTTTTTTGGGGGTGACACCTGGTGAAGCTCAGGAGTTATTCCTTGCCGTGATCAGTAATTCCTCCTGGTGGTGCTTGGGAAACCATACAGGATGCTGGGAATCAAACCCAGGTTGGCCACATGCAAGGAAAACGCCCTAACTGCTGTACTATCACTTCAGTCCTGAAGCTTTATTTCCAAACCAGAGTCAATACCAATAAAAGGAGATTCAAACCACTATTACCACACTTTAAAAATGCGCCTGTCAAAGAGGCAGGTTGAGAGGTGAGGGTGTGCGGGAACCCAGGGATACTGGTGATGGAACTGGTGCTGAAAAATGGTATGCCTAGAACTCAACTATAAATAACTTTGTAAGTCACAATGTCTAAATAAAAAAAGGAAAAAGTTAGGTCATCTTTATGGTCTTCCAGAACTTCCTTGAAATACGTTTAAGTCATACTGACAGCAAATACTCAATTGACTGCTATACTAGATTATCTCTATTTTTTTTTTAAACCTCTAATACTTGAGAATACCCTTTGCATTTCTGGCTAAGCTATGGTAATTCTGGTAAAAGATCCTACAGACCAGTTTCTTCTATTCCTACCCTTCTAATTGAGGGAACTGAGGCCGAAGGAGGAGAAATTACTTTGACAAAGTTCATTAGTAAGCACAGAAGGGACATAAGCTCAGACTCTACTCCTGGTCCTAAGATTTCAACTCAGAGGCAGTTTTATTCCGGAATATACAAGTATCGGGGGCCAGTATCGTGGGCCAGTATCGCCTGCCTTGCACGTGCCCTGCCCAGCCGGGTTTGGTCCCCAGCCCCTTATCTAGTCCCTGGTGCACCTCCAGGACTGATTACTGAGTCCATAGTGGGGAGTTAACCCCTGAGCATCGCGAGATGCGGCGCAAGAACCAACACCCCCAGCCAAACCGAACAAAGAAACCCAAATAAGAGTGCCCGGTGTGTCCGCTCTCGCTTCTGGCACGGAAGGAAATACATATTCCCACACACCTGCTTTCTCGGTTCCGCTGGTGAAGTAGCTTACAAGGTTAGCAGGAACCTCCCGGTACTAGCGGGACCAAGAGGAAGACTCCCCGAAGGCTAAGATGATCGCTGAGTAAACAGCCGCCAGTTGGACCAAGGGGGGTGGGGGCTCTTCTCCCCGAGAAAGAGCAGCAGCGGTAAAAAGGAGGTAATGAGTACCAGGAGGACTGCTCCGCGGCTCTCAGCCTCACATGCTGGGGGGAAAGGCACCTGGGCTAGAGAAGGGACCGCCAAGTAAAGGGTGCTTGGAGGGCGCGATCCAGAAGGGAGACACGTGCTTCAAGTAGACTATAGACCGAACATGATGGACACTCAATATCTATATTGCAAACCACAACAGCCAAAAGGAGAGAGAGAGCAAAAGGAAATGCCCTGCCACAGAGGCGGGGTGGGAGGGGTGTGGAGGGGTTGGTACGAGGGATACCCGGATGGTTGGTGGAGAAAAATGGGCACTGGTGGAGGGATGGGTACTCGATCGTTGTCTGAAACGTAAGCAGGAAAGTTTGTAAGTCTGTAACTGTAGCTCGCGGTGATTCATTTAAAAAAAAAAGAGGTAACTGCAGGCTCACCCGTTTCCCTGAGGTACTGGTGCAGCTCCCGGATCAGGCGGAAGGACACCAGGCGCTCGGGGCCACTGTGCGGGTCGCCCTTCTTCTGCTTTTTCCCCAACGCCGCCTCAAGCTCTGCCCGCAGCTTCGGGGGCAGCTGCTCGGCTTTCAGCTCCCCGCCGGGGCCCAGGGCGCGCAACAGGCGCTCGCCGGGGACCAAGCGAGACGCCATGCCGGAGCGACTGCGCGGTCGGGGAACGCCGAGGCGGGACTTCCGCCGGGCGCCGGAAGGAACACCGCGCTCGGGGGGGCGGGGCCAGCCCGGCCGCCGGCCGCGGGGGCGGGGCGGCGCGCGGGGCAGTGTGGGGCGGGGGCGGGGCGCCGCCCGGCCGCGGGTCGGGCCCTGTGTCAGCTGCCGAGCGCCGTGCTGCGGCCGGTCATGGCGGGCTGTGCGGCCCGGCGGGCCCTGGCTCTGGGCAGCCGCTGCTGGTCCCGCTCACTGACCGGGGCCAGGGGGCCGCGGCCGCTCTGTGCAGCACGTGGCGTTGGGGCCTTCCTGCCGGCGGCGACCTCGACGGCGCGGAGGCACCTTTCGTCCCGGTGAGGGACAGCGCGGGGCCAAGGCGCGGAGTGGCCGGACGCAGGCCGGGCCGCCGCGGGGTGACGGGGGTTCGGCCCCGGAGGCGCCCCGCGCGGGGAGGCGACCTGCGGACGCTGCCCGGGACGTGTGTGGCGGCCGGGGCTGTGCGTGGCTGGCGCCCCGGCGCCGCTGATGACGCTCCCGGGGCGCAACGTGCCGCCCCGAGTCGGGTCCCCGAGCGCCGCGGGCACGGGCAGCCTTTCAGTTCGGCCTTCAGGGGCCGGCTGGAGTTCCCTCCCCCTGGACCGGGCCGAGCTTTCCTCGGACCGATGCTGGAGGGAGGACAGAGGGCTCGGCCCTGCGTGGATCCTCGGTCGCACGGTGACCTTGGAGAGGCTGGTTCTTGGTGTGACTAGGGGGAGCGAGGTGGAGGCCCCCGGGCATCTGGACGCATGAGCCTGGCACATCAAATTGGTGGATAGGGCGAGACGAAGCATCAGGAGTCTTCTCTAAACAGTGCTCCGAAAGGCCCCCGGTGGGAGCAGCCCTGTTCAGCGGTCCCTGAGAACTGACTGGTGGATGGGATGAGAGCCGAGATGGGGGACGCTGAGAGTCCCCTGTGATATCCATGGGAATGTGAACAAGACTGGACTGAGGGAGAGCAAGGAGCAAGGCGGGGAGCCGTGGAGTAGCAAATCTAGAGACACAGACCTCTGGGGCCAGGGAGATCCTGGAAGGGCCCCAGCACATTCTCTATGTGGGGGACTCTTCCCACAGCCCACCCCAGGAGCAGCCTCCAGGCACGTTTGGGTGTGGCCCCAAGGTAGGGTGGAGGGTAAGGTGAGGATTACAAGGGTAAGGTGAGGATTCTTCCCCTCCACTTTGTTGTTTTGGGGACCACACCCGGTGGTACTCAGGTCACTCCCCAGCTTGGTGCTGGGGTCAGAGGAACTACTCGATGCCAGGGATGGAATTCTGGTCCCCTGCATGCAGAACCTGCTCTCCAGCCTCTTGGCCCTCCCCTTAGTTTTTGGTGCGAGGACCACAGCAAGCACTGGGCACTGGTTCAATTCCCAGCATCCCATATGGTTCCGTGAGCACTGTGGGGAGTAACTCCTGTGTGCAGAGCTGGGAGTAACTACTGAGCATCATCAGGTGTGGCCCCCAAACGAAAAACATCAAACTGGGCCAGAGCGACAGTACAGCAGGTAGGGCGATTGCCTTTCATGCAGCCGACCCGGGTTCAATCCCTGGTAGGCCATATGGTCCCCCAAGCACCGCTAGGAGTAATTCCTGAGTGCAGAGCCAGGAATAACCCCTGAGCATCTCTGGGTGTGAACCAAAAAGCAAAAAAAAAAAAAAAAAAAAGTCAAACTGTTTTTGAGCATCTCGTTCTCAAGGCTCTGAGGGCGTCCCAAGCTATGGAGAAGCAGGCACAGTCTCCAGTGGAGATAACTCACGAAAACCAGTCAACGGAAGGGAAGACGGGAAGGAGCGTGTGAAATGTGGAGGGTTCTGAGAGCGGGTCAGGGAGGAAGTGGAGGAAGATGTACAGTTGCAGGTATGGAGCCTGGCCTGAGGAATGTGGAGAATGAAGACAGCAGAAACTGATATGGGAGCAGTCCGGCCAAATTCTGAAACCTAGGCAGAGTTTTGGGTGGTTTGGCAGGATGCTCTCTGGCAGCAGCCGCCCCACTGCCCCAAACCCTTTGTCACTACCAGTGCTTTGGCCTTAGTGCCACAGTGTAGGTCAGTACCATCACTTCAGCTGCTCATTCTCTCTTTTCCTCATCAGAAACCGACCAGAGGGCAAAGTTTTGGAGACAGTTGGTGTGTTTGAGGTGCCAAAACAGAACGGAAAATATGAGACTGGGCAGGTAAGTGCTGGAATGTTAACTCTTCTTTTCACACAATAGCTTCTGGTCTTGTTTTTTTTTCTGTACCTCTTCCCAGATGTGGTCTGTCATTCAGGAGCAGAAGGAACATTACTGAGTCCTGGATTGTGCAGGACTGGGATGCTGGGAACCAGTAATCCTCGCAGAGCAAGCCCCACCTCCTCAAAAGGGTAGAATCAGAGTCATACTGTCGCACTGTCCTCCTGTTGTTCATTGATTTGCTCAGTGGGCCCAGTAACGTCTCCATCGTGAGACTTCTTGTTACTGTGTTTGGCATATCGAATACGTCACGGGTAGCTTGCCAGACTTTGCCGTGCAGGCGAGATACTCTTGGTAGCTTGCCGGGCTCTCCGAGAGGGGCGGAGGAATCGAACTCGGGTTGGCCGCTTGGGCCGTGTGCAAGGCAAATGCCCTGCCCGCTGTGCTATCGCTCCAGCCCAGAATCAGAGTAGAATCACAATTTATAAAGTTGGGGTTTCTTGGGACAGAGATACAGTACAAGGGTTAAGGCGCTTGCGTTGCATCCCACTGACCCTAATTAGAATCCCCAACACCATCAATGGCCCCTGAGTGCTGCTAAGGGTCATCCTGAGCATGGAGTCAAGGAATAGCCCTGGAGCATCTCCTGTGGGCCCCTTTCTAAAGATGGGTTTTCTGTTGTCTTGAATTTTGTATGTCAGTGGGCTCTCTTTCCAAATCACTGTGGAAAGGGATCATTTGGACTAGAGTGTGAGAACAGCCAAGTTGCTAAAGAGACCTCAAAGTAGTGGCGGGAAGCCTGTGAAGAGAGCTTTCTGAAAAGCAAACTTTTGATGCTTTGTCATAGTTGAACTGATTCCATTGTAGTAGGCTTTGGGTGTGAGACCCTTTTTCTCTCAGCATATGCCAGAAACATTGAGTAGGAAGCACTTTTTATTTTTTCAATTGCCTGCCTGCCTTCCTTCCTTCCTTTTCTTTCCTCCTATTCTTATCCTTTTTTTCCTCTTTCCTTCTTCTGCAATGCTGGTCATTGTGCATTGGATTATTTTAGAAACCAGTGCCTTCAAGAAGTTTATTGTTAAGAAAGGAAATATGGCACCTAATAGTACAGGGGTAAGGCACTGTCTTTGCATGCATCAACCCTGGGTCAATCCCTGATGTCACTTATGGTCCCCAAGCAACTCGGGGAGTGACCCCTGACCACAGAGCCAGGAGTATTCCCTGAGCAGCACCAGGAATACCCAAAAAAATGAAGGAAGGAAATTTTTAATGGAAGGTTATCAAGGAAAGCTTCCTAATTGCCTAAGCTGTGGCTTAAGGGATGCTAGTAGTTGGCCCTCTGAAGAGGAGTGTTCCAGCATTGGGGCTGGAGCAATAGTACAGTGAGTAGGACCTTTGTCTTGCATGCGGCTAACCTGGGTTCTGTTCTCGGCACCCCACACGGTGCCCTGAATCCTGCCAGGAGTGATCCCTGAATGTAGAGCCAGAAGTAAGCTCTGAGCACCACTGGTGTGACCCAAAAACACAAGTTAAAAACAAAAGATATTCATAATATGTGAGCTAATAAAAGATATTCTAAGGAGAAAAAAAAATTAAAAAGAAGAAGAGAGCGTTCCAACGTTGGCTCAGGTAGATCACGGGGTTCAGGGAGGAGTGGCAGGGCCTGTGCTGCAGCTGCTACCCTGGCTGCTAGCAGTCTGGGCCCCGCCCATCTGAGTTTGCGGGACTGCAGACTCCCCCTCTGCTAGGGGCCTGGCCCCACCTGCCTGAGCCTGCCGGGCTGCAGACTCAACTCAGCCTCTCTCTCCCTTCCCAGCTTTTCCTCCATAGTGTTTTTGGCTATCGTGGCGTCGTCCTGTTTCCCTGGCAGGCCAGGCTGTATGACCGGGATGTGGCTTCTGCAGCTCCTGAGAAGTAAGTTTCCTGGTCAGGGCCCACCTGGTATGCTCAGGAGGCAACCTGATTCGTGATACACGTAACGGGAGTCCCCGGGGTGCTGGCTGCATTCCCCTGGGCATAGGCCCAGCCCCACAGTACTTTCCTGGCACTGCTACCCGTGGAGACAAAAGTGCTGAGTGCCTGTGACAGTCTTAAACCAGAGGGTCCCTTTGGACTTCAGGGATGTTCACGAGCTGTTTCCTTCATATGCACCCCAGAGGGTGTCTGGGTACCTGGGTGTCTTGATTTCTTCACATTCGGTGAAGAACCTGTCCTTTAATCTCTTTTCATCGCAAAATGTATGCTCCATCTCTATTAATAATAATAACAGCCCCTAGGGTGTGAGAAGAGCGGGGTACTCTAGCCTGGAGATATGAGGCAGAATTTTGATTTTCTCAGCATAGGCCTCTTCTAAGAGTCCTCCAGAGTATAAGACAGAGGGTGGCCTCTGTATTGTGGGTATTTTCCTGACCACAATTTGCTTTGACTCAGGGCTGCCTGGGCTGGCTATTGCCCAACGGGTACGCCAAGCTGGTGATAATGCCAGTTCAGATTGGGCACCAGTTGGCAGAGGAGATAGGAGGTAGCTGAGGGAGACACTGGTCTTCTCTCACAGTGATCCGGGGTTGATTCCCTCCCCCACAGGGCAGACAACCCTGCCGGCCATGGCTCTAAAGAAGTGAAAGGCAAAACGCACACTTACTATCAGGTGTTGATTGACGCCCGTGACTGTCCACATATAGTAAGTAAATTATATGGCCGGGCTGGGGGGTTCCTCTCCAAGGGGAAGACTTGGACCTGATGGGGACAACGGGAAGGAGAGGGTTCCAACAGAGCCCAGATCCACACCGGGCCCCAAGTCATCAGGACTGGATGGTCACCAAGAAAGTCTCTGACTTGCTTCCTACCTTAGTCTCAGAGATCTCAGACAGAAGCTGTGACTTTCTTGGCTAACCATGATGACAGCCGGGCCCTCTATGCCATTCCAGGTGAGTGAGTAGTGACTAAACCTTGAGGGGTGCCTGTTAGTGGAGGGTCTCTGGGACATCAGGGAGAAGTCTCCGATTCCTTTTTAGCTGGGTGGGATTACAGATGCCGGGTCTGCTCTCCCTGGGATAGGTTGGAAACTCTCTCTGCTTTCAGCCCTGTCCTTTTTTTTTCTTTGTGTGAGTTTCACCATTTGTTCCCTTCTCCATTCCAGGCCTGGACTATGTAAGCCATGAAGATATCCTTCCCTATACCTCTACCGATCAGGTTCCCATCCAGCACGAGCTGTTTGAAAGGTTTCTGTTGTATGATCAGACAAAAGGTAACTTTGTCAGGGTGGGAGCTAGAATGCGGGTGGGCCCTTTCTTGAAGAGAATCTCATAGAAGTCATTTTATAAAGCTCTACTTTAGCAGCTACATTCAACCCCTGTTATACTTGTCAGATAGATGACCAGTATCTCCCTCATAGCATGGAAACTGAGATTCAGGGAGGATGAGAAGTGACTCGTGGCTGATAGCTAGTGGCAGAGCAAGGTCTGAAAACCAGTGGTGCTAACTCTTCCCAGGATCTCACATACCCCTCAAGGCTTGTTCTCAGTGGGCAGTGGTCTGCAGAGGTTGGGGCGGGGGGGGTGCTGTGTGCCTTCTCCTGGACTGTACATTTATGTTTAGGTGCCTTGGTACTGGGCCTCTACTCAGAAGGGTCTTGGAGGATGGGCAGTTGGAGAGTGGGTGCAGTGCCTTAAGACTGTCCTCTATGAACCTCTTGCTGCAGCACCCCCTTTTGTGGCCCGGGAGACACTGCGGGCCTGGCAAGAGAAGAATCACCCTTGGCTGGAGCTCTCTGATGTCCATCGGGAGACAACTGAGAATATCCGCGTCACCGTCATTCCCTTCTACATGGGCATGAGGGTATGTACCCCACCTGCGCCTCTACGCCAGGGTTAGACCCCCAGGTTCTGTGTGATATCCCTAGTGTGACTACTGGAGTGAGTCTCCACGGAAATCAGACATTGGGTGGTCCTTCCAGCTATAGTTTGTAGTGGTTGGGGTAGAGTGTCTCTTGGCGATGCTGCTCGCAGGAACTAGAGCAGCAGTGCAGCTGGAGTGATAGTGCAGTGGGTTGGGCGCTTGCCTTGCACGCAGCTGACCTCGGTTTAATCCCTGGCATCCTATGTGGTCTCCTGAGTGCAGAGCCAGGGAGCACCACTGGGTTTGGCCCCCAAACAAAACAAGAACTAGAGCAGGAAACGCCTCAGTTTCTTGGCCAAGTCTTCCTGACTGACTATTCCTTTTCTGGTCTAAATGGAGCCTTGTTTATTAGTAGTACATATGTACCTGGTTAGTCAGGGTGGTTGATTGTCATGCCTTTATACGTTAGTCCACTGTTTTCCAAAGTGAGTGTTGATTCTTAATGCTTGAGAGGTAGTACAGAGGTTTAGGCACTTGCTTTCGACGTGACTGACCCAGGGGTTCCCTTACTACTATGCTAGGAGGGATCCTTGAGCATGCCAGGTAAGGCCCGGCCCCCCAAACACAAAAAGTATCTGATACTGTCCCCTGTGGAGGTTGTGCTTGAATGATCAAGGGTGGGGTGGGGTGATAATAATCTTGTGAGCAACTAGGGGACATATCCTCATTTTTAACTTAAGTAAGGCAGATTTTGGGAAATGCACTGATTTCCCCCCCCCCCCCCCCCCCCCCCCGCCCCGAATAAGGGACAGTAGACCAGATAAGTCCGGGAGTCTCTGCATTAGTGAAATATTTAGGAATTTTCCTATCTGATGGCAAACTCAGTCTTAGGGATACACATATAAATGAAACATTGTTCCTGCTTTCCAGGAGCTCTGGCTAGAAAAGGTCAGCATCCAGTTGACCCGAGCATTGTGATAAGGTTGGTTCATGGGAGGGCAGAGTGGCCAAAGCAGACAGTGATGGGCTGGGGCGCACCGGGAAATGGGGCTGCAGAGGAGAGCCAGCATGCGTCCCCCTTGATCAGACCAACTGGGGCACCAGGGAGGGATCCAGGGGAGCCTTTCTCTAGGGGACTTGTTGACCATATCTAAGTCGTCATCATCCCACAGGGTTTTGCATTTTCTTCTTTCTTCTTTGCTCCATACTCGGCATTGTTAGGTTTTATTCCTGGCTCTGCACTTGGGACCGTATGTGATGTTGGGGCATTGGGTATGGGGAGAATCAAACCCTGGGCGGCCTCATGCACGTGCCCTACCTGCTGTACTGTCTCTCCGGCCCCATCCCACAGATTTTTGAAGCTTTGGTATGTCTCTGCAACCTTCCTGGAACACGTCTATCCTATTGAAAAGAAGTTGATTGGAACAAACTTGGTTCTGCCCACTGGAACTTAAATTTTTTGCTTTTTCTCCCCAGGAAGCCCAGAATTCCCATGTATACTGGGTGAGTGTCTCCCGTGGGCAGGTGTGTGTGGGAGGGCAGGTTGATAAGCTGAGTAGAGTTGAACCCCTTGAGAGTGGGGTTTGTGCAGTAAAGGCTTTGTCCTCTTTTGTCCCCAGAGTCCTGGGCCAAGAACTGGTCTTTTCTCAGCTGTGATCTCTCTTTCCCACCCTCCATAGTGGCGCTACTGTATCCGCTTAGAAAACCTGGACAGCGATGTCGTACAGCTACGGGAACGACACTGGCGGATATTCAGTTTGTCCGGCACCTTGGAGACAGTGCGAGGCCGTGGAGTGGTGGGCAGGGTGAGCATCTTGGGCCAGTAATGCCCAGTTTCTGGTCCTGACCCACAGGCTCGTGTGTGGTCTCCTTTTCTGCGGTTACACACAGGCCGTGTATGAATGCATTGATGTTTTTACATTAGAAACCTCAGAGCAACACTGAGTCGCTCTTACCTGGTTCTTAAAACCATTTCAAGGCCAGGGATGTGGTTCAAATGTTAGAGCACATGCCATGCACATATGAGGCCCTGCGTTTGATCGCTGGCACCACATGATACCTTCTCTTGCTTGTAGCACTGCTGGGTATGGCGCCTATTAAAAGAAATAATTCACAGGGGCCTGAGCGATATAGTACAGCAGGTAGGGCATTTTGTCTTGCATACAGCCAACCCAGGTTTGATCCACGGCACCCCATGTGGTCTCCTGAGCCCTCAAGGAGTGATTCCCGAGTGCAGAGCCAGGAGTAAGCGCTGAGCACCGCTGGGTGTGGCCAGCCAGAAAAACAGAGCAAAACAAAAAATGTCATAGATGAAAAGTGAGACCTCAAAGTTCAATGATAGTCCCAGAGCTAGTCGTGGTAGTGCTGCCACTGAATCCGAGTCTGACATCAGAGCTGGTGTAGAGTGCTTGTTGCCAGCTGAGACTGATTTTGTGCCCATCAAAGAAGGCACGTTGTCCCCCACCCTTGTGTGTTCTTTGTCCCCTTGCACATGTGTCTCCTCTTTCTGGTCCTTAACGAGATCAGATTTTAGTTTTCGGGAGATAGGACTACCACATCCTGAGAAATAAGGTCATGAGAAGTAATGAGGAGCTACTTTCAACAAGCATTTATCCCAGACAGCAGAAATCAGGGAAATGGGATGGTAAGACAGTTGTAGTGTTAGTGTGGCTTCAGATCTGTGTTATTTATCTGATAAACAACTGAGCAAGTTTTTTTTTTTTTTGGGGGGTGGACAAGGTGTTATTCCCCCCAATCTACCCCCCGGGGCCACACTTGGCAGTGCTCATGTTGCTCCTGGCTCCACACTCAGGGATCACTCCTGACTGCTCGGGACCATATGGGATGCTGGTGATTGAACCTGATCTGGCATGCAAAGCAAGAACCCTACCCGCTTTGCTATCACTCTAGCCCCTTGGACAAGTTACTTGATAAAAATGTTTCTCACCACTAAAAATGGGTTCTTGTACTTGTTACTTTATGCTTGCTCAGAGGTGTCAGTGAGCAGAGATTTGCAGATCGCTGACATCCTAGCACTGGGGTACCAGAATCTGTGTTTGTAGAGTAGGTCCTGTGCCAAGCCTGTGCCCAGTTAGAACTGAAATGACCTTCCCTGGAGTCAGTATAAAAGGCCCAGGTCAGTGGTCATGCTCTGGTAGTGCTGTGCTGAGGGTGCAGCCAGTCCTGATGACCAGCAGTTAGCAGATGGCTCCAGACCAGGGACTGTGTCTGGCCTGACCTCCTGTTACCCACCCCCATTCACAGGAACCAGTGCTGTCCAAGGAGCAGCCTGCATTCCAGTACAGCAGCCATGTCTCCCTGCAAGCTTCCAGTGGGCACATGTGGTGAGTAAGCGTGCGCTGGGCAGGGGAGCTCCATTCCACTGACGACAGGGCAGAGAGGGAGTTTATAGTGAGCTCCTTTGTTCTCAGTCCTCCAGTCTCATTTGGTGTTCACTGGTTTGTGGGATTCAGCTGACTTTTTTTATGATGGTATTTTTAACTAGTTCCTTAAAACTTCATGGACTGGGGCTGGAGCTGTAGGACAGTGAGCAGGATGTCTGCTCTACACATGGCCGACATGGGTTTGATTGCATCCCCTATGGTCCTCCGAGCACCTCCAGGAGTAATTCATAAATGTAGAGCCAGGAGTAACCCCTGAGCATCGCCAGATGTGCCCCCAAAAGGACAAAAATTAATTAAAATTAAAAGTTTGTGACTGAGAACTTAGACCCCAGGGTCAGTGATTTCATTTTGCAGTTGTCTGTGTGGCTGCATTTTCTCTCTGGGGTTTCGCTCTTTACCCTGGAAGTCAAGTTCAGGAGCTTACTGAAGCATGCCCACCTAGGGGTCAAAATCAGGACAGCTGGGTTTCCTTGCTGTGGTTTCCGGATGCGCGTCCTGCTGTCATGAGCCAGAGCGAGAGCACGGCCTGCCGCATCCTGTGGTCTGCAGTGAGGGTGTGGGCTGTGGCTCCTGACTCCCTCTGTAAAAGTGTCTCTCTAACCCACAGGGGCACTTTCCGCTTTGAGAGGCCCGATGGCTCCCACTTTGATGTCCGGATCCCCCCTTTCTCTCTGGAAAGCAATAAAGATGAGAAGACACCACCCTCAGGTCTTCACTGGTAGGACCAGTGAAGGTCCTGGAGTGCCCAGGCTCAGCCCCTGAAGAACAGCTCTTCATCCCACAACTGCTGCAGAGCTCTCCAGCATGGACCATAAAAGGTCTCTTAATCGATCGCATCATTTGATTGTAGAGTTCTTCTTGAGGGGTAGGGGGGAAGGTAGGTCATGGGACATAATTCTCCCTGCAGACCTCCTCCAAGGCTGGCTGTCCCTGTAGCCCCGCCTACACTGTGCTCCAGTTTAAGCTTCCCACCAGGAACTCTGGGGTCAGCAGCCAGAGCTGGGTGTCCCCTGGCCTGTCACACAAGTTGTCAAAATGTGAATAATCCGGTGCACGTGTGGCCCCTCTTCCCCTTCTCCATTTCTGCCCCAAGGGCTTCAGGCTTTCTGACCCAGTTGCCCCCCCCCCCCCCCCCCCATTGCTTTCCTTGCTGCCCTTCTAAGCAGCTGTCCCTTCTGCTGAGGGATGCACCTGAAAGGAGCTGGAGGGTGGTGGGGTCAGCCTGTGGGGAGGGGCTGGGCAGCCCTCTTGCTGTCTTTACTCTCTGCCAGCAGCAGGATAAGGAGCAGCCTGGCTCTTACAAGCATTAGCATCTCTGGCCTCCCTGGGCCCAGAAGGGCTGGAGCAAGCCCACTGGGGTTCTCGGAGCAGCGGGCCTGCCAGCCACGAGCACACATGGGTCAAGCATCCAGATTACAAATGTAAGAACTCAGTCAAGGAGCTTTAGGCATGGATGGCAGTGAGGCCAAGCTACTTTCTGAGCTTCTGGAAAATCCCCAAGAGCCAGAGATGAACTGTGCTGTATTCTTCCCTGATTTTGGGACTCCTGCACCTCCACCACCACCATAGCGATTGTTAAAACGGTCGCTTTATTCTGAATTAACATTAAATATGTTTCAGCCCTTACTGTTGTTGTCCTCAATTCTCCACTAGGGGGAGTCTGGGTTGCAGGGCAATGGAGAGTGACCTGCTGTAAGAGCACAAGGTTGGGGTGGACAGAAGCAGAACTAAGCCCACAGCAGTGAGCTGACCCAGATTAACTATGCATGTCTGCACCACGGCAGTGTAACAGTTTTATTAGAAACTAGCTGTTTGTCTGTATCACCTTTGTCACATTGAATAACAGAAAATTACGTGAAACGATTTCTCATGCCATGCTTTTCGGGCTGATCTTGGTCAGCTACCAAGTAGAGTAACAGCAAGGAGTAACAGCAGGCTTCACTTCTTCACTTCTTTAGATTGACAAGAAGGTGTGATCATTCACTTTCCCTGGGCTGCCCAGAGTTGACAAATTCACACATCCTGTTGCTTTCTAAACCAGGTGAGGGAACTTAAAATGAAATTCCCTAAACCCTTCAGTCTCAGTGTCTCATTAAAGAAACAAAGATCCCTTCAGTGAGTTCAGTGTTACTTAGACCCGGATATTTCCTATCCGAGGAGAGTCCCATACGTTGGGCTTTCTTTGGAAGACTAGTCACTATAGTAAGACAGCTCAGAATCTGAATGACAAGCAATAGATTACTCAGGCTAAGGAGCCAAAGAACTAGCATTCAGAATTCCTAGTGGGGGGGCTGGGGCTGTAAAAGGCATCAGAAGGGCAGTGGAGGAGGAAATAGGCTGCTGGCCTCAAGCCAGAACATTCCAGTTCCTGAGAAAGCCACAATGCCAGTGCCAGAATGTGGCCAAAGAAATGGATTTGTCTTTACCTTATTACTCCAGTGAAAGCTGGAAGACTTGTCTGTAATTACCAGGGTGCTTCACCTGAAACCCTACATTCAAGACGCCATGAGTTATAAAAGGCCTCCCGAGAATGGCATTCTCCTTCCCTGGCATGCCTCTTGGGTGCTTGTGCCTGCTAGCCTGGCATTTGCCCATGGGCTCCTTGGGCTCTGCTGGAGCAGTCACTTAGCTGTTAAGAGGAGTCGAGCGATGCACTGGATGACCTTTGTCTCCAAGAGCACAAGGCTAGGTGACGTCACCGCCCTCGCTTTAGACCCTTGGTGCAACTCCCTCCCTGAGGACATTCCTTTGGGAAAGAATTCTGAGAAGCAGCTCTCTAGGGCACGCCACTTAGAAGGGAACGAACACCAAAGCCCCGAAGAGGAACTAGCACCCTGGCCCCAGCTGGTGCTCGGCATCTCCAGAGCCAAGTTACCCAACTAGAAAGGAATGAGGTCTCCCAGAGGCAGAGTTGTGCCTGCTGTGTCCAGGCTCCTCGCTGGGCAGAGCCATCCCCAGCCAGGTCACAGCAACACATGATTGTGGCAGGGAGGTGGGTCCAGAGCAGGCTACCTCTCCCGGCCCCTGCACCTGCAGGAAGGGCTCCAACCTTCCCGCTGTCCTGCTCTTGGCGCCTTAGGGACGACAGCAGGCTGAGGAGGAGAGGAGAGGGTCAAAGAATCAAGAGCCACCGTTTCACCACAGCAATGTTAGCTATGGGGTTGGGGTGGGGTTTATCCTATTCTTAGGGGAATGCTTTTGGGGTCTCACATCCTAACCTTCCTGCTTTAGTGCTCATGGCTGGCTGCTTGGCCAGTATGGCAAAACCAGAGTGGGGTTTTTTTTTTATTGCTTCTAGTCCTCTCCTCAGGTTGACTGCCAAAAAGGGAAGTAGAGTCAAAAAGAAATGGGTTGAATACAAATATCCTGAAAAAACCAACAAAGTGCTTCAAAGAAACGTCCCAAAGGCATCAGAAGGACTGGGGTTACTATGCCTTTTCCTTGCAGGAAGGCACCCTGAAGGGGTAACTCGGTCCCCTGTTATTAGACTAAAAAACTACTCATTTTACTACTGTAGATTTTTTTCTAAAAACCAAGCTCATCAAGCCGGTGCTTAGGAAGAAAAGAGCCCGACCTGTAAGCAACCGGGCCTCCACAGCACCTGCTGCTTCCTGGCCTGCAGAGTGAAACCATTCCCACAGGAGCAGCTAAACTACAGGGCACGGGGTGTCCCTACAGCAGAGCAGAGGGGCACTCTGCAAGGGCCAGGGGGCTGTGGTCAGTGGGAGGTGGCAGTTCACCCCATTCACCCCAGGGCGGATGCAGCAGGGTGCTGGCGAGCCAGGGATCCCGACAGAGTCCTCTCAGGAGTGCTTGGGAACAGGGCAAAGGGTTGTGGTCCCGCTCCTCTCAGGCCCTTGGTCCTCCCAGGCAGGGCCTGTCGGGCCTCTGGGTGCTGGAGCAGGGGCCCAGCCAGCAGCAGCGAGGGCTGCCCCATGAGGCAGGGCTCCACAGGAGGGGAGACAGGGTAGGCCGTACCCTGACTCCCCGAGGGTCCTGTCAGTCTCGATGGGCAGACTGGTGGCCTAGCTGCCGATCGTCGTAAGTGCTGTAGCGCTTGACGTGGATTCGGCGGACGCGGTCCCGGAGTTCGAAGGTCTCCTCATCTTCACTGGGGGAAGCCTGGCTGCGGCTGCGGCTTGTGGCCTCCAACAGGGAGTTGTCAGGGACTCGCGGGGTCTCATAGAGTAAGACATTGAGTGTTTCCTCATAGATTCGGGCCTCTGGGAATTCCACCTGGGGTGAGAGAAACATGGTTTCACCCCTCAGGGAGTGCCTGATCCCCTTAGAGGTTAGCTCCACCTCTGTGGTGCCTCACTGCACGAGCGTGTGCGTGTGTGTGTGTCCCCTCAGAAGTTAGCTCCACCTCTGTGGTGCCTCACTGCCTCTGTGTATGTGTGTGTGTGTGTGTGTGTGCGCGCGCGCAGCACACACACACACACACACACACACACACACACACACACAGCTCTCCTACTGATCACCTGGTCAAATCCCTCCCATGTGCCTGGCACTGACATTACCCACAGAGGCTCAGCTGACTGCCAGGGAACCACCTGAGAGCTAGGTCAGAGAGAGGTGACTGCTGTCTCCACCACACTGTGCTGCTCTCCTTCAGAACTGTCTCCTTTAGAGATGCAGGCATAGTACAGGGTATAAGGCGCCTACGTAGCATGTGGCAGGCCTGGATGCTAATCCAATATGCCACAAGGTCCCCAAGCTCTGCTCAGTGTGATCCCTGAACGTAGAGCCAGGATTAAGCCCTGAGCACTGCAGGGTGTGCCTCCAAGCCCACCTGCCTTCCCCACCCTCCCCCAAATTGTTCCCTTTGAATTTAAGGGCGGTTAAATTCAATCCATGGCTACTCCTGTTGGTCAACAGCCCCTGCTGGCAGCTAACAGGAGTGCATGGTTCCCTGGCCATCCCTAGATGCTAGTTACATCCTCGTCTAGCACCGCCACAAGAGTCTGCGTTAGACAGCAAGTATCCTGCCTCCAAGCCTGAGGGCAGCCCCCTTACCTTGGTCTGCTTCTTCTCCGTGGCATACACGATGGAAGTGCAGCATACCTCGGCCAGCTTCCGGCCCTGGCCATAGAAGGACCAGCAGCAGATCTCATCTCCCAGCACGTCTTTGATGAAGAGCACTCGGCCATTGAAGCGGAGCGAGAGCTTGTCAAACAGCTCGATGTTCTTGAGCAGGTGGTCATCAGAGTTGCTGGAAACGCATGGAGGGTGGTCAGAGAGACAGGGTGAGGTTATGGTGTGTCCCTGGGCCAACCCAGGCTCTATCCCTGGTATCCCATGTGGTCACTGCCAGGTATGATTCCTGTGTCCTGCCATACATGGCCCTCCCCAAACCAGTACCATCACCACCTAACAGTCCATGAGGGTGCTGAGAAGGAGGTATCAGCATGAAGGAGGACGCAGGCTGGAGGTCCTGCACCTCCCGTCAGGAGATGCCAGAGGGGATAGATGGAAGAGGATGAGTCCCTAGGCGCTGAGGCTGGGGGTCTGTGAAAAGGGAGTTGATTTGTATTTTCTGTTGATGCTGAGAGAGCCCTTACGGAGGGTGGGGGGGCAGGCATATCCTCTCGTTAGGCTGGAAGGAAGAAGCCCGCTGCTGGCCATGGAGAACTGCTTCTCTTGCTGGGCGGGGGGTGGGGGGGGGGGAGGGGGGGAGGGGGAGAAGAAGGGGAAGGGGGTGCTGGAAACTGTCCATAGGGCCTCAGCCTGCAGCGTTCTGCATCTACCTAAGTGCCTTGCTCAGAGGACCCAGTGGGGGCCAAGCAGAAAGTGGGCACAGCTATGAGGCACAAAGGCTGACTTGGTGGGCCCCGGTGCACTGGCTGCCAGCATTCCTCCTCCACTGTATCAATGCCGGGGAGTCCCCTGGCACACTGCCTGGCATAATATGCGGAAGCTGGTGCTACATGTTCAGGCAGGCCCAGAGTATAGGTGGTCCTGCGCCAGGTTCCAAACGCTCTATCTCGATTTTTCTTCTATTTTCTGTTCCACCCATTCCACCCAGAACCCCACCAGGAATGCCTCTCCTTGGGTCTGACCCCTATTTCCTTGCTGGCAGCTGGCCTGCCCCGCCCCGCTTGCGCCACCCTACCTGGTGTAGGAATACTTGTTGTTGCTCCTGTTGTACAGCAGCTTCACCACCGGCTGTAAGGGAGAAGAGTGTGAGGGCCGGGCCCGGGGTCCCCCAGCCCCTGCCGGAGCCCTCAGGGGTCCCCACAGAGGCCCTAGTACCTTGGTGGAGGACTCAATGAGCGTCTCCTCCTCCTTCAGGGATGTGATAACGGGGATGTTGCACACGGGCTGGTACGAGTCCTTCTTGTCCTGGGTCACAAAGAGCCAAGAACATTTTGAGAACTTCTGCTTGCCACTCTTACTTTGCCAGCGCTCCCCAGGAGCTGTTGCTGCCCCCCTGCCAAGGACACCCCTGTGCTCACTGAGGAGGCCCCGGGGAGGAATCAGAAAGACCCAACTGGCAAGCACACTCCCATGGCCACTGCAGACACTTCGGCACAGGCACAAGCAGCGGAATGCGCTCAGACCGCCTCTGCCCAAGAGAGGCCTGGTGGGACGGAATGAGCGCTGGACTCGGCAAGCACACAGCCTCCCAGAAACTGGTCCCTTAGGTAAGCCTGAAGGTCATCAGCCAGCCCCACCTCAGTCTCCTACCTGCAGGGCAGCCTGGCACATGTCCACCAGCCCCTGAATGAGGTAATACTTTGCTTCAGCCATCAATTCCTTGATTTCCTGCCGGTTTTGAGGGAGGATGATGGTGTCATCGCGGAGGTAATTTAAAATGCTGCCAAAGTGCTTTCCACATCGGTCTATGAGGATCCAGCCTAGGGGTGCAGAGAGACCCCGGAGCATTACTTTAGCCTCTGGGGAGTCTGGAAGCAGGCAAGAGCCACAAGCCAAGTGGCAAGTGGCAAAGAGAAGGAGCACAGGAGCTCTGTGAGCTCAGGATAACAAGTGGGACAGAACCTCTCGCCCTGAGGTTTTGGTTCTGGGGCCACAGCTACTCGTGCCTGCCCCTCTCCATCCCCCCAATCCAAACTGGTGAATGCGTGGAGACAGACTCTCAGGGTTCTGAGAGGCAGGTCTAAGCTCAGGAGCGCTCAGGGCTGCCTCCTGGCAACACAAAAACCTCCAGCCACTACGTTGTACTGCCCACTGACATCACCCGCCATGACCACAATTCCTATTAGAACTGAACCCTATGTGCATCAGAAAAGGTGGGTCTTCTCCCCAGAAAATTCATACACAGGGCCAGGGAAATGGCTTCAAAGGGCTAGAGCACATGCTCTTCAGGCAGGAATCCCAGGTTCGATCCCTGGTACCTCAAGGTCCCCTGAACACGCTGGGAGCTAGGAGAAGACCTTGAGCACTGCCAGGTCTGGCTCAAAAACTGAAACCAAAGAAAATCCATAAACTGATTTTCTCTGAAATCTCCAGACTAAAGGCAAAAAAACCCCATAAACTCACGTTTCCTCCCTCCCTACTTCTCTCCCTTCCTCCCTTTCCCCTTCCCTTCCTTCCCTCCCTCCCTTCCTTACTTTCTTGGCCACACTTGGCAGTGCTCAGGGAATCCTTCCACCTCTGTGCTCAGAGATCACTCCTGGCGTGCTCTGAGGGATCATACTGGGTGCTAGGGATCAAACCCAGGTCACCCACGTGCAAAGCAAGCACCCTACCCACTATATTACCTCTCTGGCCCAAACTTGTGTCTTTCTATGTACAATTTCAGAGAATTCTGAAGTCCTATGATGTCCTTCAGGGAACAGGAAAAGTGAACCTAATCTAGAGCCCAGATCTTCCCGGCAGAAGCCTTGCCTCTGTCCTTGCTCAGAACTTCCCCTTCTGTCCCCACATGCCCCGTGAGGCCCCGCGGCTCACCTTCTTTGTCAGTTAGCACCTCCATGCGCCCGCTGAACATGGCCTTGAGCATGGTGTCCTGCCGGGTGAGTGCCCGTACCGTGGTATAGTACAGGGAGCCGCCCACGTTCAGCTGGACGTATTTGTTGCCCAGGCCTCCACCCTTGAAGCCACTCAGTTTGGGCTTGGCCCCCGCCGAGGGGCACAGACACGTATCCCCTGACATCTCCCGCTGCAGGTAGATCACCACACGGCAGCAGGTGGGCCTGGAAGGTTCCGCCGTGGTGGAAGGGTCACAAGGGGGTGGCCAGTGGAGGCCAGAGCCACATCCTCTCCCTTCTGTGAGCAGGAGACAGAGAGAAGACAGTGGTCAGGAGCGGCAGAGGTGAGCCCCCAGCCAGGAGGAACCCTCTGGGGAGCTGGACCCCCCAGTCCTCACCACAGGTGCTGAGATTCCCTGACAGAGGTTAATGCCCCAGGCAGCAGCAAGCAAATAAAACCATTTCCGCTGTTACTTATGGTAGCAGGAAGCAGTGGGGAGAGCCCACGGCCTCATCTCGCCACCTCTCCAAGACAAGGGGCCCTGGAGGCGGCTCAGTGGTTGAGTACCTGCCTCACAGGTGTGACACCTGTGGTGTTACTAGGTGGAGGGAGATGGGGGAAGGAGGAATGGCATCAGTGCCCCAGGACACATCTCTGCTCTGAGGTAGGGACAAGCCAAGCCAAACAGAGGTGAGGTGGGGGAGAGAGCAAGGCAGAGGCTCTGCTCGGATCCCCAGCAGTCAGATTCTAGTTACTCCTTTCTCATGCAATCAACGACTGGAAATCTGGCCGGCCAGCCAACCAGTGAGCGTTTCCCGGGGATGGTGAGGACAGGATGTCCTTTCTTTGTGAGGATTCCAGGCCCAGGAGCGCTGCACCAGTGCTTACCCTGAGCACTGCTTGGAGTCAGGCTCCAGGAAAGCGAGGACAAGTGGCTTCTAGAGAGCCAGGAAAGAGGCAGGCGGGCAGGAAGCCAGACAGTATTCTTGGCGGCGGTGACCCTGGCTCCAGCCAGGATTTCCTGACCTTCCCTTTTCTTAGCTCCAGCCCTGTCCCAAGTTCCAAGGCTAGAACAACTAGAGGATGGATATTTTTTGCTTTTTTCCTGAAAGGCAGCCCAGCCCTCTCTCTTCAAAGGCATCCCAACAAAACAGGGAGGAAGAGTTGGAAAAGGTCAGATAATCATTCTCAAATCAATGAAGTAACCTGGAAATGAAAACCCTCAAGGGAGTTCATAGGAAGGAGTCAGGATAGCAAAGGAGGTCACGCCCCATAGTTTCATGTCTTAAATTATACATAATATAGATTTATTATATAACTAATTCATATTATATAATGTCATTTATTCATAATTTTATTCATAATGTAGAATTTCATTCTACATTATATGTGCTCATTTCTAAAGGAACAATAACATTCATTCATGGAAGAGAAAATAAGTAACAGCTTCCACCATTACATGTTTTCTATGTTTCAATGAACATCTCTAAAATACTTAACCAGTTCATTTATTTTTTTATTTTTATATTTATTTTTTGCTTTTTGGGTCACACCCGGCGATGCACAGGGGTTACTCCTGGCTCTACACTCAGGAATTACTCCTAGCGGTGCTGGGGGGACCATATGAGATGCCGGGTATCGAACCCGGATCAACTGCATGAAAGGCAAATGCCTACCTGCTGTACTATTGCTCTGGCCCCTTATCAGTTCATTTAATGCACTCAGCTATAAAACAACCTTGAGGGTCTACTAGGGCAGGCAATCCGGAGAGAAATATAAAAAAAAAATTCTGTCCTTGACTTTAAAGAAGCATCACATTGTTAACAAGAATGAATATGTGCTTGTGTTTACTGTGTCCCTGCTAGTACCAGAGGATAAGGCGAGGATAAGTCATGGAGCTTATATTCTAGTGGGTAAATATAGGCAATGAGCAGGAAATGAATAAATAAGTCAACCATTCCAGAAGGTGAAAAAACAATAAACATTGAACAGAGGGTAAGAGACCAGGAAAATCCTCTCTGTGAAGGTCACATTCCTGTTGAGGTTTAAAGGACATTCCAGAGAGATGGAAGAGTAAATGCAAAATTCCTAGGGCAGAAATAAGGCCAAGAAGGCAAGAGTAGAGAATGGCATAGAAAAAGTTGGCACAGGAAAGGTACAATAGGGTGTCTGCCTTGCACAATGACCGACCTGAATTCAATCCTTGGCACCACATATAGTCCCCCTGAGCCCTGCAAGGAATGATCCCTGAGTGCAGTGCCAGAACTAAGCTCTAAGCACCGAAGAGTATGGCCCCAAAACAAAGAAACAAAGAGAAACAATTGGCATGAAGTAAAACCAGGGGAGACTAGGGCTCGATTCCCGGCATCCTATATGGTCCCCTGAGCAATGCTGGGAATAATTCCTAAGTGCTAGGAGTTACCCCTGAGCATTGCTGGGTGTGGCCCAAAACCAAAATCAAAACAAAACAAAAATAATCAGGGAAGGAAGGGGTGAGATCATATTAAAGAGTTTTGAGTTTTATATTATTTGCAATGGGAAGTGACCGGAGAATATCTATCAAGCAGGAGTGGATGTGACTGGGGTTACTTATATTTTGAATAAAATAACTGCCACAGTAATAGTATAAGCGGCAAACTGAGTCTGATCCCTGACACCCCATATGGTCCCAAGAGCCTGCCAGGAATGATCCCTGAGCACTATTAGGTGTGGCTCAAAAACAAAACAAAAGAGGTAAAATAAAATGACTATTGTGTTGAGAAGGGCCTAGAAGTGGTTAAGAGAGAGTTGAGAAGTGGTTAAGAGAGAGAGAGAGCAGAAGTCTGGGCAAGAGAAGAGGAAGGTGAAGACGTCCAGCAGTGCTCATGAAGACAAGAGAGAAAAAAGGGGATCACAGCCACATGTACAAATTTCTCATCTCTTGCAAGTGCAATCCAGAAGCAATGCAGGAGTGTCCTCAAGTTTACTGTTCCACTCACCAGCACCATGTCCGAATTAAAGGAATTCAGAGCAGGTGCTGCATGAGCGCTGAACTTCTTGGGCGGAGACTCACTGGCCACAGGGATTCGGGATACACCCCCACATGCCCAGTCAGTTACACCTGAACCGGATTTCTACTGACCTCCGTCCGCCTCCCCACAAAGAGAAAAGCCGCCCCTGAGTAGGTTTTAGACGTTTCCGCAAGTATTTTGTGTCGAGTCCCAATTTCCCCAGGGACAAAGGACGCGTAAACACCTACTGTGTCAGGGGATGGGGAACCAAAGGCGTGGTGACTGCCAGCAGAGGAAGACAGACTCGAGACTAATCCCGAGACTAATCCTGAGACCCTGGGCGACTTTAGCTCCGATTCCGCCCTGACCAGGGGGCCACCGGAATCCGGAGCAGGGGCCGCCCCCAAAGCAATTCCAGGGAGAATGAAGTTTCCACTGATAGCCTGGGCGCGCTTCCTTCCGGACTTTGTGCGTGGACCTGGGGCTATTTCGGGATGCCAGGGACGCAAACAGCCTCTGCGGGAACTGGTGAGCACCCGCCAACACACCCCGCAGCCCAGGAGGGTCCCCAAAGACGACCTAGAAATGCCTCGCGCACGGCAGTGGGAAGGAGTTGGTCTTGGCTACCACGGGGGAAACTAGCAGAAAAGCTAAGCGTAAATTTCAGGCTTCATCCAAAGGGCGTGGGAAAAAATCTGGCAAGACCCAAATTCGCTGTGGCCAGTGTCCTATTCGAAGCAGTTCGGACCCCTCCTCACGCACGGAAAAGCCCCGAGCCCCGTCCGGACCCCCTCCTCTCCGGCTCCCCGACGCCGACCCACGCCTTTCCCCCCAGGACTGGGTGGGGTGCTCCGCAGCCCCGAGCCCGGCCATCCGTTCCCCACCCGCAGCAGCGAGTCCTTCCACTCTCGCCGTCCGCGGAGCGCCTCACCTCTCAGCTGGGTTTTCAAGCCTCCACCGTGCGGTGGACCGTGGGCAGTGGACGTCCGTCCGCTGCTCCGCTTGCCCGCAATCCCAGGCCGTGAGCTCACATCCTCAGCCGCGGGCTCCTCCCCGAGCCGCAGCCCAGCCCCGCGCTGGCAGCGCAGCCCGAGCCAGGGAGACCGGGCTGGACCCGCGCCCAATCAGAAGCAAGGGAAGGGCTCCCGGGACGATTCCGCGGGGCAGCGCGAGCTACTTCCGGTAGCTTGTCTCGCGCGCAAAGGCCTCTGGGTCTTGTAGGCAGCGACCCTCGCCTCTCCGGCCTCTGTTTCCCACTAGGCTCTGCGGCACGGGAGGTGGGGGCGGGGCGTTAGTGTTTCCGGGGTCAAGCCGTGACGTTTTGAGTAAACCGGCCCTGTAGCCGTGGCAGCGGTTGGAGCGGGGCGGGGGCGGGGAGGCTGGGCACTGGCTACCCAAGTTGCTAAACGGAGAGAGAAGCAGCTTGCCGCCTTCTGCCTGGGCCCCAGCCCAGCTGCCGCTCCGGGGCCGGAAGGTAAGCAGTGACAGGGACTTGGGGTGGGGATGCGGACGGACCTGGGGGCCGGACAGGCGCGCGCCTTGGGGAACGGCAGTTCCAGCTGAAAGCGACGCGGGGATTCCCGCCTGACTCTGGGAGCGGTTCCACGCCGGCCTGGCGGGGGCCTGGAGCTCTGCTAAGCTTTCGCCTCGCGACGGTCTTAGAGAGGCACACTCCGACCAGGGAGTTGACATAGTTAAGGACGGCAAGCTCCACGGCCCGGGAGTCCCTAGTTAGGTGTCCAGCTGTTCTTTCCCCGCACCCTAGACGGAACCGGCTCGGCTCGCGGCGCCACGCGTGAACCTGGGAAGTCCCGGAGGGCGGAGAGCGCCGACGCGGGCGAGCGGGAGGCGGGAGATGGTCCGATCGCAGTCGGACCCGGACCCTCCCTTCAGGCTCCTTCCTGGTCTTCCCCAGCCCGATCCACGCTCCTCTCCCACCGTGTGGCGGGCTCGAGCCGGCGTCTCGGGCTTCCTCCCGACTCCTGCCCTTACCCGATCACTCCTTTTCTAAGTCCCAGCCACTCGATTTCCAAAGCAGCGGCGGTCGGAAGCCTTTTTGCACTCCCCACCCCCGCCTTTTCAGCCAGCCACCTCTGCGATCCCAGCCAGTCATACCGCCACCCGAGATGCCCCTACACACACACACACACACACACACACACACACACACACACACACAGAGTTACGGGAGATGCCCCCCCCCCCCCACACACACACAGAGTTACGGGTGCCCTGCTAGGTGCTGCGGAGCCATCGAGTTGCACCTCCGCGCCCTCCAGTCCCAGCACATCACTTGGCACCGTGAGGTGAGCGCTCGCGGCAGGTGTCAGCGCATCCTTTGCTGGGAAGTATGAAATCCAAGCCCTTCCCCTTGTCTTTCTGACCTCCCCACCCCAGTGCGGCTCCCGCGCTCCAGCGACACCAGTCTCTCCCTTTGGAACTTAGGGTCCGTTCTTTTATTTTGTTTTTCGTCCACACCCTGCGATGTTCAGGGCTTCCTCCCGACTCTGTGCTCAGGAATTATTCCTGGCGGTGCTCTGGGACCGTATGTGGTGCTGGGGATCCAGTCCGAGTCGGTTGAGCGCAAAGCAAGCGCTGCAAGGACAGCCTTCAGGTTGTAGCTTAAGCTTTTCCAGAAGCTTTTATACCCACACATCCCCTCTATGAATGACGTGCTTTCCCTTATATCTGGGGCATACCGTGGGGATTCCACAGCTTGCAGTGCTCAGGGGTCACTCCTGGGGGACCATACGGGGGTTTGGGGATCCAGCTGGCACTGACTGCATTGCAAGGCCAGCGCCTTTTCCCTGTACTGTCTCTCCAGCCTTTTTCCTCATTTTAATCACTATATCTGATTGTCTACTACTTGCTTAGAGGTCCGAAATGAAAGCATTAAAGCATTTTCTTCCCTGTCCCCAGAGCTGGCACACAGTAGATGTTTCTGAGTAAAAGCCCCCCCCCCCCCCCCCCAAAGGGAGTAGAAGTTGGAGCAGATGTTTGCACCCTCAGGTTGACTGAGGCTTTCTAGAGCAGCTGATCTGGTTAATCACCTGGTAGGTGTTAAGCCATCAGACTCTTAAATGTAAGTACTAGCTTATGCAGTACTAGCTGGAAGACATCCTTTTTTCTTAAGTTTGATGGTTATTACCAAGAAGCGCTGGAGGATCAGGATGTTTTAAGAGACTCCCTTGCTTGTAGGGCACTGCAGTGCGGTTCATGGGCCCCAGCCATATGCCTATAGACATGCACTAAGTGAGCCCACAGGGTCGAATGTGATTTTTTTTCCCCTTTAAATTTTTAACTTGAGACCTACCTTAAAAATCAGATGTCTGGGGCCAGAGAGATAGTCTTGGGGGTAAGGCACTTGCCTTGCCTGGGGTGGTGGCAGCTCTGAGTCTGGTTTCCTGAGAGAAAGGAGGGAGGGAGTTGGGAAGGAAGACAAAAAATCAAGACCTTGTACACATCTGGTCCCGGTGGTCACTTCCAGAGTTCAGAGCAGTTTCTCTAAGGAAGTTGGAAACAGATTGGTTGAGGCTGGAGAAGGAGATGGTAGCCAGAGGAAGACTGGTACACTGTGCCAGCTATTGGCAACCTTTAAAACCTCTGGGGTTTGGAAAGTGGCATTGCAGCAAGTGACTGCATGTAAATAGCATTTTAAAAGAATGCTATTTAAAAAGAAAATTATTTAAAATTTTTTGTTTTTGTTTTTGGGTCCCACCCAGCTGTGCTTAGGGCATACTCCTGAAAGAGATTGCTCCTGGCAGGCTTGGGGACCATATGAGGTGCCGGGGATTGAATCCCAGTTGGCCACATGCAAAACAAGCACCGTACCTATCCACTGTACTATCACTCTCACCCATCATTGCCTCTTTTTAGACATTGGTTTTTGTATTAAGCTAGACCAAGCATGAGTTTTCTGTTCCCTGGAATTAAGACATCCTTCTTTTTCTTTTTTTTTTTTTTGAGTACTGCTATTTATTCAGCCACTGATTAGGGTGATTGAATTGTGCGTGAACTCCACCTTACTTTTTAAAAATTTTTTAAATAATTTTATTTATTGAATCACCATGAGAGCAGTTACAAAGCTCTTGGGTTTAAGTCTCGATCATATAATGAAACACTCGTACCTTCACCAGTGCCCATTCTCCATCACCAAAAATCCCAGTGTAACCCCGTCCCACACCCTCCCCCTACCTGTGAGGCAGATGATTTCCAAATTACCCTCTCTCTACTTTGATTACATTCAATATTTTGACACCAGACCCACCATTATTATTTGGGATTTTACCAACACTCAGATCTGCCGAAAAGGCAACAGTAGACAATTTGTTTTCTATTGCTGGTTATGAATAATATATGATGTCGCATGGCTGCAGTAGTGGCTGTGATTTTGAAATTCAGAAATTTTAACAAATCTGGAGGGATTTTTTGCCAAAACCTGCTGGGTTCTGAGATTTGTTCCTGAGTCTCTGGGATCATGGCCATTAAGCAGCTTGATCAGGAGCCAGAGAGGCCGTTCGTGGGCTGGAACTCAGGGTCTTGTTGGGGTGGGGAGGAAAGAGCCGGCTTCACCCCCATCCCATGAGGCCCTGCGTGTCTCGTCACTGCGGGCCCAAACCTGACTGTCCAATGGTCTCTGGAAGATGGTGGCCACCGAGCCGCCTAGGGGGAGCAGGTGGAGGAACAGCACCCTTCCCCCCTCCCCGGGGTGGCCCGGCAACAGTAACCTACTGCGAGGTCTGGACGCATTTCTGCCAAAAGCCGCTGGATTTTGAGATTTGTTTCTGAGTCTCTGGGATCATGGCCATTAAGTAGCTTGATCAGGAACCAGAGAGGCTGTTCGTGGGCTGCCACTCGGGGTCTCCTTGGAATGTGGAGGAAAGAGCTGGCTCCACCCACATCCCGTGAGGCCCCACGTGTCTCGTCACTGCAGGCCCAAACCTGACTGTCCAATGACCTCTGGAGGATGACGGCAACCGGGCCACCAGGGGGAACAGGCCAAGGCACAAAACCTATTCTCACCTTGGGTGGTCTGGCGCTGGTAACCTACTACAGGGACCGGACGCATGTCTGCCAAAAGCCATTGGGTTCCGAGATTTGTTTCTGAGTCTCTGGGATCATGGCTGTTAAGCAGTCTGATCAGGAACCAGAGAGGCCATGCCTCCGATAATATAGCTGAGCTGGAGGTAGTTTGTGGGTGTGTCTCCCACATACTTACCTTTTGGCCGTCTACGTTCTTGGTAAACTTTGCCCCAAGTTTTGGGTGTCTGGCCAAAGGCACAGCAGCAATTTTGGGGTATCTGGAAGCCTGAAGGCACCATGAGGCTGCTGATGCACTTGCCTTACAGGTACAGATTGACCTGCTGGTGGCACCATACCCCCTCCTTCTTTTTCTTGACCACTGTTTGGGGGGCCAATTCAGGCAGTGCTGGAGCCGGACATGGGTCTGTCTCCAGAGTCACATCCTGTGGTGCTGGGTATGCGGCACCAGGGATGGACCCCAGGGCTGCGCACCTCTCAGGCCATGTGCTCTGCTACATTCAGTGCACAGTCACAGCCCGAGCCTGGAACTGAGGCATTTTTTCATCCAGGATCTAGGTAGCTGGGAAGGGAGAAAATATCTTTGCTGGTTCTCTGTTACTTAATTCATAAAAGAAAAAGAAAGCCAACTCCTGAGCTTGGCATTTGGGATTTGCTTTTTGGGTCCAACCGATGTGTCCAGCCCATCCTCTGTCTTTTCATCTTCTAGGCAGGACCTGTCCTGTCAGTGACCTCAGGCTCTTGTCCATGCTGTTTCCTCTGCTTGGAATGCCTCTTCTTGGCCTCCTTACTTGGTACGTTCATGCTGTTACCACTTTTTTGAGTAAATTTATTATTTAAAAAAATAAAAACTAAGTTTGGGTCCCAGTTCAGACTAGCGTAAAGTGATCCATGGCATCCATCATTCAAATTCCTTCCTAGTTTAATTTTTAATCCACTCACATTTCTTCTTTTACTTTTGTATGTTTGTGTGTGTGTGTTCAAATACACATATTTGAAAAGCCTTTCTTTTCCTGTCCTTTTGTGTACATAATGGGATGACAATGCAGTGACTCACAACTCAGTTCCTGTATGACCTGATCACCCCGTATTAACTGCTCTGTCTTGGAGGCATTTCTAGAAAAGCAGTTAACAGTGTGGTCGTCATCTCACGTTTCTGTCTTCCTTGGGTTAGACTCTGGGCTCCTCCAGGCCGGGCACCATGTTGCAGTCATCTTGTACCCCCAGCTTTAGAGATGATGGCATGTAGTAGGCATTCAAATATCTTGATACCTGTGATAAGCAACTGGACTTTGTTCTTTCCTGACCTTTGCTCCTGTGACGACTCCTGGCTGCCACTGTCACCCCTTCAGATCTCTAGGGAAGCCCGAAGGGAAACAGGTAAGGCTCAGAGAGATGGAGGAAGAGAGAAGGGGAGGCTTGGAAAACTCTGGGTTTGGGCCTTTGGTGTCTAAGAGGAGGAGGAGTGGGCACTTTTTTGGGTATCAGGGAAATGATCGGGGGCGGGGCCCATTTCTTTGCAGTGATGGCCAAGGACATCCTGGGTGAAGCAGGGCTACACTTTGATGAGCTGAACAAGCTGCGGGTACTAGACCCGGAGGTCACCCAGCAGACCACAGAGCTCAAGGAAGAATGCAAGGACTTTGTGGACAGTAAGTGTCCTTTGGGGAAGTCTGTTGCCACTTCCAGCTGTTCCAGCTGCATCCCCAGCACCACTCCCCTGCGAGTCCTCATCCAGCCGGCATGAAGCTTTTGCCTCCGGATGCTGAGCCCAGCCTTTCTGCGTTGCCATGAGCTCCCATCCTGTCTGGCTGCCTTGTTTTCTTTTATGCTGCCAGGGATCAGAACCAGGCCTCATGTAAGACAACCCAGAAGAGATCTACTAGTGTAGACTTGAGCCTCCTGGGGACTCTATAGGCTAAGGAGAGAGCTTGATCGTGGAAAGACATGTGGTTTGTCAGTCTCCTGTGATTACTCTGTGTGTGTTGTCGCACCTGTCTAGGCCTCTGTTTACACTTCAGGAGAAAGGGGTTCCAATACACTGAAGGACGCTGAGAAAAAGAATGGGAGATGGTTATGCACTTACATGCTTCGTGCTGTTTGTTAGCACTGGTTACAGGTGGAAAGCCTTACCCCACTATTAATTGAAACCTAATCTGATTTTTGTGGGAGTAGGATTTGTTTCGTACCCAGTGGTACTTCGGGGCTGCTCCCAGCTATGACTCCCAGCTCAGTCTGTTAAGCTCTCTCCAGCTCCTTTTTCCTTTCTTTCTTCTTAGGGTGGGGTGGGGCTTGGGGTCCATACCTGGCAATATCCAGAGACTATTCCTGGCTCTGTTCTCAGGGATCATTCCAGTGGTGCTGGGCATCCAACTGGGGTTGGCTGCATGCAAGGCAAGCCCTAAGCCCTGTGCCTCTGCTTTCGTGTCCTGAAGTGGCCCTGTGTACTTCCTGTCACTCTGGGAAGAGCTGGATGGCGTTCACCCATGGGGCGGGCCCAGCTGGAGTTTGGTGCCTTCTTGGCCTAAAGTAGTGCTGGTGGGCTCCATCAGCACTCAGTCCAAGTATGCCCACCCATTTGGCCTCTGCTCTCCTTTCTCCTGCTCCTGCCCACTAGTAGGCACCAGACGGTTGGACAGTTAGAAAGGACAGTTAACCCTGCCCTCCTAGTGCAAGGGAATGTTGAAAGTGATAGTGCGGAGTAAAAAAAAAAAAAAAAAAAAAAAAACTGATTTCTTTTTTTATCCTTTTCCCTGAAAGAAATTGGCCAGTTTCAGAAAATAGTTGGTGGTTTAATCGAACTTGTTGACCAGCTTGCCAAAGAAGCAGAAAATGAGAAGATGAAGGTAAGATCAGCATGTCTGTCAGATTGGGGCCCTGATTCTTTTCATCCTGACATTTGGGGTAGGGATGATGTGGCAATATAAAACAAGGTTTTAAACAATTCCTGGTCCAAGTAACCTACTATTTTACTCCTACATGCAGCACAATAGTTTCCTTTCACCTTTCCATGGACAGGTGGTTTTCTATCAATAGTTTTATCCTGATTTTATAAAGGAGGCAAGAGTGCTGTGTAAACAACTTGGCAAAGGATGCACCAGACGAGCCACTGGATACCTGTGCCAGGCCTGGGAGTGCTGCAAGGTCTGCCTCAGGGCAGCAGTCCAGTTCCCCTAGGGCACCCTAGGATTTGTGGAGGGTGTCCTTCCTCCTTAAAGCTCTGGGGCTCCAGCTCCCGTTTTCGGGGCACCAAGAGCTGGTAGGTGGTCCCTGTGCAATAGCCTTCAGTGCTGAACTTTCACAAAGTCCTGACCTCCTTGGGCAATGCTATATGCTTCCAGGCGATTGGTGCTCGGAACTTGCTCAAATCTATAGCAAAGCAGAGAGAAGCCCAACAACAGCAACTCCAGGCGCTAATAGCAGAGAAGAAGATGCAGCTTGAAAGGTAAGAATGTGATGACGGGAAGAGGCCCTTCACTCAACTGCAGTCCTGTCTTTCTCGATCACTCCTGACCTTCTTCATCAGTCTTCTCCCAGGAATAGTGCCTCATTCGTCATGCTCATTTGAAGATTATTTACAGTAAAATTACAGTTGAGGAGATAGAAAGCCTGTCTCAGACTTCTAGTTATTTGATAGCGTGGAAGTTGAGGTGACAGTAGTCGGAGTTGGCTGGCTCTCGGAAGGACCTTCTTGAGGCTGATGACTTTTCACAGGTGGCATCCCCTGTTTTCGGGGGGGTTGCCCTCTTCTTTTCCCTCTTTCATGCCCTACCTTCTTCACTCTGAATTCACACCATTTCTTGGAATCACTCGAATCATCTTTATTCTCTAGAGTGAAGCTCATGGTTTATTTCACTCATTTTTAGGGCTTCTAACAATTTTGTTTTTCAGGTATCGGGTTGAATATGAAGCTTTGTGTAAAGTAGAAGCAGAACAAAATGAATTTATTGACCAGTTTATTTTTCAGAAATGAACTGAAACTTTCATTTTGTAGGTGGGCAGACTACAAAAACAAAACAAAACAAAACAAAACCACCAAACCAAAACACCTCTGTATCATTCCAGTGACCTGACTAATGACCCATGTTGTGCGAGATGGTGTAAGGAATGCAACATCTCCAAAGGCAATAATGTCAAGTCAGGGGACCTTGTGTGCGGAGCTTTCCTGCAGCTCCCCAGGCTCTGCATTCCTAATCTGAACAGAGCAGACTATAACCTTACTCTTTTTTCTTTTTTTTGTAAATCCACAAAACTTTGGAAAGCAAAGCAATAAATTATTGTTTTCAAGTGTTTTGCTTTTTTGTCGGGTGCCCTCGAAGTGTTAACTCCAGACCGTTTAGCCCCTCACCCACAAAAGAAACCAGGCGGTGGTCAGCAGCTGCTTTTATTAGGACCAGACACATGAGTGGACCATACACTTCTCCCAGTGGTCCGACCCAGTGGCTTTGGAGCAAAACAGGCAAAAGGGAAGAACTGACGGGGACTGGCTGCTACCGTTTCACGGGTATGTTCACAGGATTGAAGAGTTAGCCTCAAGTGTAGATTTGCAAGTGCCAAGAACACTGATGTAATGTGAAGTGACCCAGTTGTACATACTGGACATACCATACCCAGCTGCCTTCTCTGCCTTGACTAAGAACAAGCCAGGACAACTGAGCTGTGCTAGGAAGGACAGTAATCTCGGAGGAGGTTCGAAACTGGGTTTGAGGCAACAGATGTCACAGTAAAGGGACTTAGGCCAGGTAGTCTGTGAAAATAGAGAAAACTAGGTCTGAAGACAGAAACAACACATTCCAGTTGAAGCTTTTTTCTGACCGAAAGTTAGGGTAGGGTTGAGCCTTCCACTTAGGGGTGAAGAAAACCTTGAGTTTTAAATGAATATTAAAAAGAAAGATAATCTCAAACTTTAAAATGGACAGGAACATCCTATTGCTCAGTTTGCTGATTTAGCCACATATATATTGAGTCAAAATAATAAATGATTCATGAGTATGCCAAATATATATATACACACAGATATATGTGTGTGTATATGTATATATATATATATACACATATATATATATTTGTGTGTTTGTGTGGTGTGAGAGATTGAACTCAGGGCCTCATATATGGGGCCAATGTTTTACCAGTAAGCCACACCCCTGGCCCAAGGAACCCGTATTTCACAGATGTTTCTCCAGTTTCTGGCCTGGTCCTGGTTTTAAGTAACCCTGCAGTGGAACTTGGGCATAGTGAGGTACAATAACTTCCCTGTATCGTAGCCCAGATCCCTCTGCCCCCCATCAGGTAGACTGGTCTGCTTGTGTCAGTGCCCCAGGGAGATGTGGGGATCTGACCTGTGTCCTGCCAGTTCTTGCTCCTGGTGTAATGCTGCTGTGTGTTCCAAATGCTACTGAAGACTGGGGTCTGAGCAGTTTTCCTGGTACTGGGTCAATAGGAAACTGCCCATAGGCATCTCTCCTTGGGGCCTGTGGTGCCTTCTCATTTTTTCTTCCTTTTCTCCTCATACTTGTAGTGGGGGCTCCGCAACATGAAAATCAGAAGCATGAGAGGGATGAAAAAGTAGGGAGCATAGATCGATACGAGGGCTATTCTTTCCCGCAAGGTCTTTGGCCCATGTCCTTTGAAACCACTGGCCTTGGAGAAATCCTCAAATAGAAACGTGGTGAGAATTGGAATTAGCGTTGTCATGGTATGAACTGCGTAGATGATCGCGGGGGTGCGGATCCACTTGCAACCTCCTGAGGTGATAGGGGGAAGAGAAGAAAAGGATTAGGTCTGTTCTTGGCCCCAGAGATGTTCATGACACTGTCCAACTTCTCTGCCAGCTCCCTTCAGCCAGATCATTCTACCCTTTTCCCAAGTGGAAACAAATGGATAATGATGTTTATAGTGCTGTGTAAACATAAACTAGCTGGAGCCCATATGCACACTGATGGCCAAAGAACCAAGGTTGGGTCTGACTTTTAATTCAGGAACATTTTCTCAGGGCCGAAGTGATAACATAGCAGGGAGAGCATTTTCCTTGCACTTGGCCAACCTGGGTTGGATTCTCCACATTCCATATGGTCTCCTGAGCATCATCAGGAGTAACCCCTGACACAGCTGGGTGTGACCTAAAAACAGTAAACACCCTTGGGCAATAAAATGACCATAACTATTTGAACCAGTTTGGTCTATAATGTGGGTGGGAGCCCCACAAGTAGCATTTGGTAATTGTATCTTGTTAGAGATGGACTCAGATGCAGAAATGCCATCTGCACTTCTGTGTTCACTGCAGCACTATTTACAATAGCCAGAATCTGGAAAATACCCTTCGAGTGCCCAGGAATAGATGACTGGATAAAGAAACTATGGTACATCTATACAATGGAATACTACGCAGTCACAAGGAAAAGTGAAATCATGAAACTAACTTACAAATGGAAGGAGACAGAGAGTATCATGCTGAGTGAAATGAGTCAGAAGGAGAGGTACAGACATAGAATGATTGCACTCATTTGTGATTTTAAAAAAACAGTATGAGAAAAATACCTAAGGACAGTAGAAACGAGTACCAAGAGGACTGGTCCATGTTTGGAAGCTTGCCTCAAGTGCTGGGGGGGGGGGGGCGGGGGGGATGACGGTGGAGAGGGCAGCTGGACAGAAAAGAAACCGATATGACAATGACAGTTGGAAATGATGACTCTGGACAAGAGTGGTGGGAGGAAGTAAAGGGATATACATGATAGCCTTTTATTGCCTATATTACAAACTATAATGCCCAAAAGGAAAGAGAGAGAGTGGGTGAGTGAGTGAGAGAAGAAAAGTGAAGAAAAGTGCCTACCCTAGAGGCAGGCTGGTGGGGGGCAGTGGTGGGAGGAAAACAGGACAATGATGGTGGGAAATGTACACTGTTGAAGGGACAGGTGTTGGAATACTGTCTGACATTACAACCCAATCATGAACAACTTTGTAACTGTGTATCTTATGGTAATTCAATTAAAAAAAAACAGATGGTCTGACTCCTGCAGGAAACAAGTTGTACAAACTCTGTTATCACATCCTTGGGGACAGCCACCTTCTTTTTAGAAACAATAGGCAGATGGGAACATGGGGAGAAGGATTTTTAAATGAGCAGGTAGGTCCATGTAGCACCAGTAAGATGTAATTCAAAGGTGAGAAGTAGAAGCAATTTTGTTTAAAAACTGGGGGCCTTCTGATAGGACAACGAGGTATTTGCCTTACACATGGCTGACCCAGGTTTGATCTCTAGCATCCCATATTGTTCTCTGAGCACCACCAGGAGTGGTCCCTGAGGACAGAGCCAGAAGTCAGCCCTGAGCGTAGCCAAGCATGGCCCAAAAGCAAAAAAAGAAAAATTGGGGGCAGGAGAGATTGTACGGTACATGCGCATATGGCAGAGTCTGATTTGATCCCTGATACCTCATGGTCCCCAAAGCACCACAGATAGTGATCCTCAAGCCCAGAGCCAGGTCAATCTGGGATTGGTAGATTAAAAAAAAAAAAACAACATAGAACAACTTATCGGGCACAGAGAGACAGTACAGTGGGCAGGACTCTTGCCTTGCATGCAGATGACCAGGGTTTGATCCCAGCATCTCATGTGGTCCCCTGAGCACCACCAGGAGTAATTAATTCCTAAGTGCAAACCCAGAAATAAACTCTGAGCATCATCAGGTATGTTCTTCCCCTCCCCCCACCAAAAAAAGCAAGTTCATTCTTGCAGAGATCCTCAACTTTCACGAGTGAGCCTTCTGGAGAATTGTGCAGCCTTGAAATGCCAGAGAACAGCCAGAGACACAAAAGCGTCCTGGCCCCATCAGCTCTTCTATCTATCACCTAGTCCAGGTCACAGGAACCACAGCCCTAGAGAATCTGTACTAAAGGTATGTGGAGCCAATCCAGAGCAGAAAGATCTTCCCATCATTTACCAACCTTTGAAGAAGGCGTATGTTGCAATGGGAAAGAACGGCAGCTGGAACAGGAGCTCACAAAATAGGAAGGATTTCAGCCACGACGGAGGGTTATGAAAGAGCGGGTCTTTGAACTCCTTGGCATACCACTGCATCAGGTTTTTCAGCTGGAAAAAGACAATCACAATGAGCACAATATCAGGTTCTGGTGGCTTCAATCCACTGTTGGGGGCCCCCCGTACCCCACTGACCTTCCTGAACAAAACTCTAACTCTCACCGTCTCGGTGAAGCTTTCCTCAGCTCTTGTAGCCCCTTTGTGATAACAGGCGCTTGGTCCTGACCCAGGAGAGAGCTGGGGTGTACCCATTGTTGAGACAACAGTATCTTCCCACTCACTCGTGGGAAAGGCATGTGGCAGACCCAGGCCCAATCCCTGGCACCACATGTGGTCTCCTGAGCCCACTGGGAGTGATCCTTGAGCACAAAGCCAGGAACAAGCCCTGAGCACCACTGGGTATGATCCAAAATCAAACCAAATGAAAAAACAAAAAACAAAACCCCCAAACCCTGAAAAGCAGATGGGGAAACTATTTCTGGTATTTCTGGTATTTATCCTTTCATATAGCAAATACACACCAAACTGAAGCCCAGGGTTCCTCAAACAACAAAAACTAAGGAACTGGAGAGATAGAGTGGGTTAGGCACTTGTCTTATATGTGGCCAGGGTTCAATCCCATTGGGTACCCTGTTGTGATTCAGGAGTGATCTCTGAGCACAGTACCAGGAGTAAACCTTAAACCTATATTGGGTGTGGCCCCAATATAAAACAAAAAAGTAAGCTGGCTGGCCTTGTTTTTCTGGGGAGAGTGAAGGTAAAAGGGAGATAAATCTAACTTCTGTAAAGATGTTATTTTCGTTTAAATCCCCCAAACTTAGGGACTTGTACAGCAGGTAGGCTGCTTACTTTGCACATGGCCAACCTGGGTTTGAGTTCTTTATATTTCCCAGAACCTCACCACGAGTGATCCCCAAGCACAGAGCCAGGAGTAAACACTGAGCACTGCCAGGTGTGGTCCCCAAACCAAAAACAAATTTCCCAAACTCAGTTTCTTCCTCATTCTCAACTCCCCTGGGTCAAAAGTTTTTCTTTTCTGGAGCCCATAAGTATATTTATAGAACTAACCCTATTAACCCTGCCCAAACCATAAATTATATAGCTTATAGGCTATGAATGAAGGCTTGACAGTTAACGGTCTTGGTGCTAGCTTGCCGCTCTGCCCCCACTTCCCACCCCTCATAACTATACCAAAAGCACCAGGGTCTGGAGGGATGGTACAGTTAGGTAAAGCGCCTACCTGTTTGATCCCTGGCATGGCAT